GTCAGGAGCTGTGCAGAGCCAGGAGGTTTCACTACAGGTAGAGCTGCTTTCCTGGTGCAGCCCAAATGCTCTTGGAGCAGAAGGGGGTGAGGTCAGAGAGTGAATTCAACTGGTCAGCACCCCCCTCTGTGCAGGCCACGGGCTCGAAAAGCCTCCGAGAAGGTCTTGGGGTACCTGTGTGATGTGGCCTGGGGGCACAGCAGAGAATTGAGGGTTTGGTTGGCTGGGTCAGGAGGATTCCTGCATCTCAGGCTTGTCTGGGAGTGTGGGGACACCCCAGTACAACACTGCCGTGCTCCCCAGGGTGGGGTTTGGAGGGGAGCAGCTCGCCCGGGGCACAGTGAGCTCACAGCACAGATGTGGGGCTTGGGGAGCAGCACACGGGGGTGTCTGTGTGTCAGAGTGGCCCCGGGGCACACACTAGTGACTGCCAGCTCCGGGCAGGGCGAGCTGCTGGCGTGGCCTGGCTCTGCTCGGGGGCAGCAGGGTTGTCTGGGGTGCTGAGGGGGGAACCTGGGCCTGTCAGTACTGGCGAGGGGTTTCCTGGGCTGTGTAAAGGATTTTGGCATCTGCAGATCCCAGAGAGGTGAGGAGTGAGGTGCTCGGGACCATTCTGCAGCCAGAAGGGTTCTGGGGGTCAGGGGACATTTGTTGTGCCTCGTACTGTTAAAATGACAGATGGGGTCCAGGGCTGCCCGTGCAGAGCTCAGGGGCAGGGTCTGCCAGGGTCTGCCAGGGTCTGCCAGGGCACCCAGAGCCTGCCCCCAGGGGCACTGCTGCTCCTCTTGCTGACCCTTGGCTCGGTCCTGCAGGAGGAGGAGAATCTACGCTCCCAGGTCAGGGACCTGGAGGAGAAATTGGAGACTCTGAAGATCAAGCGAAATGAAGACAAAGCAAAGCTTAAAGAGCTGGAGAAGTACAAGATCCAGCTGGAGCAGGTGCAGGAGTGGAAGAGCAAAATGCAAGAGCAGCAGGCTGACCTCCAGAGGCGTCTGAAGGAGGCCAGGAAGGTGAGTGTGCCCGGGCAGCTCCGGGGGCTGGGCGAGGGCAGGGTGGTGCCAGGGCTAACCCAGCTGCAGATGGCATGTGGGGGCACTTGTGGGGTATCAGCAGGGACTGGGCTGTGAGCCGGCCTGGCTCCTGTCTGCTGGGGAGCTGCCAGGTGCTAAAAGAGCCTCTGGCCTGGCTCAGCAGCGTTCCCCCCAGTGCCAGCACTGGTTCGGGTGCAGAGCTGCCAGTGCAGCCCCAGCTCTTGGGGGCACAGGCCCTGGTGGCACAGGGACAGGGCGCAGGGACAGGGCACAGGGACAGGGCTCTGCTGCCTGGCTGTGCCCGTGCGTGGCAGGAGCACACGGCTCGTCCTGCAGCTGGGGGCACAGCTCAGGTCATTCCCTATCCAGTGAGGTGCCAGAGCAGGCAGAGCTTTGGGGGGGCTCTGCTCAGTCCTGCCAAGGGACCAGAGGTGCTGTGTGTCCAGGATTAGCTGCCAGCCTGGCCTCGAGGCAGGAGTCATGGAATCATGGAATTGTTTGGGTTGGAAGAGACCTTTAGGCTCCTGGAGCCCAACCCTCCCCCAGCCCTGCCAGGTCCCCCCTGCCCCGTGTCCCTCACACCACATCCCCACGGCTTGGGAACCCCTCCAGGGGTGGGGACTCCACCACTGCCCTGGGCAGCCTGGCACAGGCCTCCACAGCCCTCCAGGGCAAGAAATTGTTCCTCAGGGGCAACTGAAACCTCCCCTGGGGCAACTGGAGGCCGTTTCCTCCACCAGCCAAAGCCACAGGCTCTGGGTAGTGAACCTCAGTGTCACTCGTTGCTGGGACATCCTCCCTTGGTGGCTCTGCTCTGGCTGAGCCCAGTCTCGGGGTGTCAGTGCTGCAGGTTGGGGGTTTTCCCCTTCCCCTTCTGCCCAGGGATCTGCTGCTCCTGGGTGGGTGGCAGGACTCTGGCTGTGCTGGCAAAGGGGCTTTTGCTTCTCCCTGCCCCAGCTTTCCAGGGAGGATTTTTGGTGATTTATTTGCTTGTCTGCTCTGGTACCACCCTGCCTGTTTTCTGTCTTCATCTCTCTGTCCTCGCCCGCAGACGGTTTTTCTGTTGGGCTTTTGTGGATGGGAGGAGGTGTGAGGCAGGGGAGGGGCCTGAAGAGAGGGGAGCTGGGCACCCCGAGCACCCTGGGGGGCCCCTGGGCCTCCCCCTCCCAGCCCAGACAAGCTGCTGTCGGTTGGACTCGACCCTTTTCTGGGGGGACAGACATCACTGTCCCAGGCTGGTTGTTCGTGTGAGGAGTCTCTGGCCCTGGCCCTGGGCGTTCAGGCTCCTCTCACCCACGTGTGCTCGGGCACAGGAAGCCAAAGACGCCTTGGAGGCCAAGGAGAGGTACATGGAGGAGATGGCAGACACGGCTGATGCCATCGAGATGGCCACGCTGGACAAGGAGATGGCCGAGGAGCGCGCGGAGTCCCTGCAGCAGGAGGTGGACTCCCTGAAGGAGAAGGTGGAATACCTCACCATGGACCTGGAGATCCTGAAGCACGAGATCGAGGAGAAAGGTGGGAAGGGGTCAGCTCTGGGCTGGTCTCGGCCCGGGTCCCACGGGGCAGGGGAGCTCCTCGCTGGGCAGGTCTCTGGGCGTCCTCCCCGTGGCCGTGGTGGGGCTGAGGCTTGGCCTCCCCTGCAGCCCCAGGCTCTGTGACCATCACCCCTGGGCAGGGCCCAGCAGCTCAGCTCCACCTCTGCTTGGCTCTGGCCTCACCAGGGAGACAGGGATGGGGCTGCTGGTGTTTGAGTCTGGGGCAGGTGCTCCTGTCCTGGGGGTAGGGGAGCTCGGGGTCAGAATCCTGGAATCTTTTGGGCTGGAAGAGATCTTTGATCTCCTGGAGTCCACCCGTCCCCCAGCACTGCCAGGTCCCCACTGCCCCGTGTCCCTCACCCCACATCTCCACGGCTTGGAAACCCCTCCAGGGGTGGGGACTCCACCACTGCCCTGGGCAGCCTGGCACAGGCCTGGGCAACCCTCCAGGGCAAGAAATTGTTCCTCAGGGGCAACTGAAACCTCCCCTGGGGCAACTTGAGGCCGTTCCCTCTCCTGTCGAAGGGCCCGGAGCAGCCTGAGGGGCTGGGGTGACTCTGATGAAGATGAGCAGTGTCTCTGGTCTCCTTGGGTTTCGCTGCATCGGGAGCACGGGGGGTGGGGAGCTGGGGGCACCCCCAGCACCCAGGGGTCTGTGACCAGCCCTGGGCCAGGGACTCGGGCCCGCTCTGCAGGGTGGTTCTCTGCTGGTTCTCTGGCTGCACCAGCTCTGGGCCCACGAGTGGCAGCGTCGGGTGCCCGGGCTGGTGCTCTGCTGGGTGGGGGGCTGTCCTCAGCCTGGCACCCCCTCAGCGGGGGCTGGAGAGCCAGGTCCTGCCCCAGCAGCACTCCCTCCCCGCAGGCTCGGACGGAGCAGCCTCCAGCTACCAGGTGAAGCAGCTGGAGGAGCAGAACGCCAGGCTCAAGGAAGCTCTTGTGAGGTAGGACACCACGTGTGCTGCCCAGAGGCTGCTTTGGGCAGGCCCGTCTGCCAGGCAC